AAATTCATACTTCCACAAGTTACAGTGCAATATCAATGCCCAATATATCAGGCCAAGTAGAAAACTAAACAAAATAGTTAATAGCCTTTATATAGAGTAGGAGTCTTGATTTTCCTTTTGAGGTTTTTTTTATTTCTTTCTAAATTCTCCTGCCAAAGCAAGTTAATGTAATTTAAGCAATGCTTGGTATTGAATAAATTTGGTCTGTACATTGTACTTCTCCGCTTTTAGAAACTGGTTCATGCTATGCTAATATAACAGGGTGCTGTTTCTTCCCTCTCTTACAGTTTAAATAAGAATGTTCCTATATTTGTCTGCACAATGGCCTATCCTACCGTCCCGTGCCCTCTGCACATCTTTGAGCCCTGTTATAGACTGATGATTCGAAGGTGCATGGAAACTGGCACCAAACAGTTTGGCATGTGCATCGGGGATCCTGTCAAGGGGTGAGTGAGCAGACTGCCCTGCCGGTGGGGAAACTGCCCCTCTCCACTGGATCCAGTAGTCTATTTCTATCGACAGCCTCTCTGATCAGCCGTTTCAGAGGAACGTGAAACTTAAAACATGGGAACAATTATAGAATAATCTGCCAATGGGCAAAGTTTCTCAAACCCATCAGTTAATGGTGAACTGGCTTTTTCTGAAGCATGAAGATTTAATATCTGTTATCCTGTCCAATGTAACTGTCAATATTATTCATTTTAAGTGTTTAATTCTATCTTTGAAATGTAGTCAGCTATTGGCCTCTGTGGTACTATGGGAAAGTACCTTCCGGACTTTTTTACTGGATAGTGCATGAAAGTTTCTTGTTAAAATGTTATGTGGTTTTCAGTTGGTGTTTTTTGATACCAGCAACTGAACTGGATTGATAAGGAATGTTTACGCTGAAAACAAATAAAGTGTTGTTATCAAGTCAGACTTATACATCCACTCTCGAAATAAAATGTCTGCTAAATAGATATATTGGCTCCGTACTGAACTGGCTGGGCATCTATGCTATGCCTTTTTACAGCAAATACTCAAAGCTGCCCATCTTACACACACTTCTTTGCAGCAGCCCCCCCACCTCCCACCCCCAATGTATTTTGATGACTTTGCCTGCTCAATACAGACTCTGATGGAACAGGCAATGCAAAGTGAAGTTTACTACGATTTAGTAAATTTAGCTTCCGTAGTTCTTATTGTAGTTAACCGTACTGGCTCTAGACTTCTGCTGAATGTATGAATATCTACTCATCTAAATTGCAGAACTTAAATAGGGAGCGAGTTGTCCATCTAAAGCAGCTGAAGCAGTACAGTTTGTAGTTGCATTGGAAATGTGATTGTACAAGAAATTCTGTGTTCTAAAATACAAGGTTAGAAACGTTCATCTGGTCGATTGCTTGAATATTCCTGAAGATGTAGTTTTAAAAACAAGTGTTGTATAATGTGAGGTAAAGCAATAAAGAGTAATGTAAAAAACAGTGAACTGGCACTAGCAGCACCTTTATACTATGAAGTGGCTATACAGTAGAGATGCAGAACCAAGTCTGAAAAGAATAGGTTTATTTACTTGCTCTCGTTGTGATTAAATAGCTTTGCAGATTACGGCTGCATTCTGGAGATAAGAAGCGTTGAATTCTTTGCTGATGGACGCTCTGTTGTAGACAGCATTGGCAAGAGAAGGTTTAAGGTGATACAGCACAGCCAGCGTGACGGATATAATACAGCAGATATTGAGTACATTGAGGATCAAAAGGTGAGTACAGCAGCGCAATTGTGGCTGACACCCTTTCAAGCACAGAATATTTTGTTTCATAACATGCACAAAATAACCTGGTACATGCCAGATGGCAAGCAAAACCACAGTATGTATTTGGATAAGCTTTCGTGGCATCTTCTGGAGGGTGCTTTAGGTCTGTGTTTATAACAATGGTCAGATTGGGTCTGCCTCCACTGAAGTGAGGGCGCTGGCAGAAGTGACATATTTGTTATGCGATCAGCCCTCTGAAAGCACTCTGCAGCCATGCTGAGACAAGTGATACGGCTGCAGAGCACTTTAAAAATAGCTGATCACGCAACAAATTAACCCTTATCCAATGAAGGTTCAGATGATGGCGCTCCAAAGCAGAGCGCGTTTAGGGAACTTCTGCTCCCTAGGGTCAGTTTGTCAGTGCGATGGGGCTGGGCTGCAACCCCCCCTCACTACACTGTCTGCAGGAAGAGAGGGGGAGTGAGCTATGGGCTGAGCTGGGGATGGGGGGGCATGGATTGGCAGCCCCATCCTGCCCCCTCTCCTTCAGTTCAGGCTAGGCAAACTCCAGCCTGCAGCTCCCCCTTGCCCTCCTCCCTCTCCCCTTCCTTTCTCCAGACAGCACTGAAGCTGGTGGGGGACAGACAGGCAGGCTTTATGCAAAGCGCCATGAGTTAGAGCGGGACCTGTGTATCTGTCAGCGGCCTCAATGACAGCTTCAATTCAAATCAATAAGTATGAGATGGAGCCCACTGAATTTAAAAGATAGTGTATCTTCCTCAAGTGTCCTAGGTGCTGTACAAACCTACACTATTCTTCCCCCACCCCCCAGAAAAAGGAATACAGTACCTATCCCAAGGAATCTTTCTCTAAAAAGTGCAAATGTAAAGAACTTGGGGACCCATGCATTAGATTTCAATCTATAACTCTAGAAAATAGTGACTGGATTTACTAACCTGGTAAACACTGAATCTGAAAAGGTATTTATTTTAGAATATAAGAAAAACCTGAAGTAAGTGGGCTGGGGACTGCTCAGTAAAGAATGAACTTTCAGGATTCCCTGAGAAATCGCAAAAGAATTAACAATGTATGCGGCACCTTCTTTGAAAAGGCAAATTGAATTAATTCCAGCTCCCCCTTCTCTGCCAATTTCAGGTGCAAGGACAGGAGTATGCTGAATTACTTGTTTTACATGATTCTGTGTACGAGCAGGCACACACGTGGTTTAACTCGCTCAAGCAAGCACTCAAGAGTCGAATACTCAGTCATTTTGGTCCAATGCCAGCTAAGGATCCTGATCCACAGGTGCATGACTTTGTGCTTAGTCAGAATTAATTACATGTCAGATAACTATCACACACCATAATAAAGAGAGAAGAATTTTCTCATTCTTTGGATATCCAGACCTTCTTCACTTGTGTTGTATAAACTGCTGTACCTCAGAATTGTGCTGCTATCAATCACTGCTGTAGTAATGCTGAGCAAGTTGGTATTCGTATTTTAATAATCCTCTGAACTTCCTGAGAAATACTAACGTAAAGGAACAAAATAATCCCTTTTGGATTTGGTGGAACTGCACCTACTTAGCACCTGGCTGAATCTGTCCTAGAGTCAGGTGGACAATAGGAATTGGACAGGGGGGAAAAAACTGAAGCTACTGTTAAACAGCTACAGAGTGCTGGGGGAGGAGGGGTGTGAACTCCTGCTTCTAGCAGAAGTTAAATATAAAGACATGTATTAAGTTAAAGAAGACCTTATCTACAGATTTATCACTAGAAACAGAAAAAGGTCTGATTTTAAAACACCCCAGTATTAGAAGAAAATTGTAAGGTGGATCTTGGCTTATGTTTTGAGCCATTTTGTACCCAGAAGCTATTAGGACTGGCATTTGGCAGAGAGAATGCATTACCAGGATACCTGGCATGGTTTTATTGACAGTATTTTAAGTCTGTGAGAACATCTCAGTTTCTGCATCATCATTTGTGCTTTTCTTTTCTCTGTTGCAGGCTAACCCCAATGGCCCTGCCTGGTGCTGGTGGGTCCTTGCTGTCCTTCCACTTGAGAACAGAGCTCAGCTTCCATTCCTTGCCATGAAATCCCTAAGAGACCGCTTGAATGGCATCAGACGTGTCCTTATGTTCATGTCTCGTACGAGATCACGGTGATGCCAAGAGAGCTGTGAAACCTCTTGCAATACTTGACTTGACTGTGGAGTGTTTCTTGTATCTATATCTAACTGCAATAATGTCTTACAGATTGACCTGTCAAAGCAGGATAAATTTTCATGCCTGAATTTCAAAGGAAATAAAATATAAAGAGCAAAGGATACTTATGGATGCTTCGCTAGTTTCCATTTTGAACTCTTAACTTTCTTGAGATTATTCAATTATTGTACTGCTAAATTAATAACATAAATGTTATATAGCAGAACAAAAAGTGATCTTGTTTGCCATAAACCTTTCAAAAGTTTAAGAGTGTTTTGTAGTAGATAAACAAAATCTGTGCAGTTTAATGTGAAGCAGAAATAATAATGTTAATGCATTATTTCAGTGAACTGCAAAGTCTTTTATTCCAAATGGTTCAGGTTTTATATAGCATTATGTATAATAATGTTCACAACTTCTGTTTGATAATTTATTTTTGCACTATGATGTCTTTTTTGGTTTTCAAATGTATATTGCAATTATTTATGTGTACATTCTCTGAACAGAAAGTGAGCTGCTCTATTTATTTACAATGTCCTACCCTGTATGTATGACTAAAGAAAAAAATGATTCTAGGAATACACAAGCTACTGCTTCTATCATTTTTTTCAGCATATTTGTGTCTGAGCACTTGAACGTTTTTCTGCTTATCTCTAATGTTACTGTGTTACAAGTGTGTGTCCCCAAAACAAGACTTCATGGCAGGCTGTCTGTACAGGTTTTGTCTGAAATAATTTGATTTTAGTTGCAGCAAACCTTGATCCTAATACCTTAACTTGGCCCCCCTTTAAATGTGTTGTCAAACTGGAATCTAGGTCAACCAATTTCAGTGGGAGTTGGCTAGAGAGTATTGAAGGATCCAGCCCTTCACTTTGCACGGATATACAGAGCGTGCGATAGCCTACTGAGTGCTGCATTTGTCTGAATTGTTCTGGAAAATGCGGCTAGAAACACTTTTCATAAGAATGAATCCCAAATGTGAGAAGCATCCATTTACAAACAGGAACTGCAACTATAGGTGTTTTTTATTGCAGATTATTATAGATTCTTTATATTAATCTTCCTTGCTGTTAAGGCCGTCTTATTGCATTTTCTAACTAATGTCATGGAGCGGGGGAGATGTGTTTTTTGGTTTTTTTGCTGTGTAAGACACCGGAAGGGCTGCTTCCATATATTGCACAATAGAGGGAATAATGGTAACAACCTTGCAACTTATTGCACCTCCAGGTTACTCTGTTGACCACAAATCTTTATCCAGGCTTGGCACTTGTTTGTCGGACTGTGAGCAGTTTGATAGTAAGAGTTAAAACTCTGGGGGAAAGGGAAAGGGTTTTGAAATGGTTCTTTTTAATTAGGGGTGCACTGATAGAGACTTTTTAATGAGCCATATTGACAGATACCAATCCGATTCCAATATGCAGCCCTGCAGTGTAGAGAGCAGCTGGGTCCAGCTGGTAAGTCCGTTGGGGTGGGGGAGAAGGGGTGTGGAGGGGAGGCAGATCCAGGCCCCCGTGGTGAGGAAGAGAGTGGGGCTGGTGCAGGGCTAGGGGCAGGTGCTGCCCAGTTGGGGTGGGGCAGGGTGTGGGACAGAGCCATGGCTTGTCCAGGGGGCACAGGGTGGGAGGGGGCGTGGCTCCTGCTGCTGCACAAACCCTGGAAGGGCATGGGGGCAAGTACCCCCAGATCAGCATGCAGGGCAGGGTGGGCTGCAGCTGCAGGCTGGGGCTGTGCCGGACTCTTCCCAGCAGGGGCCTGGGCCGGGCTGTGTCGGATGTGCAGTGGCACCACGGAGTGGGGGCTACAGCAAATTTTGGGATGGCTGCAACCCCTGCTCCCAACACTGCCACTACCTGCCCCAAGCATAGCCCAGCTCAGCCCCCCCTACCAGCAAGAGTTTGGTGCTGCCCCCAGCCCGCCCTTGCCCCACACACAGATCTGGGGTCCCACAGCCTCCCAGGGTGTGTGCAGTGGGAGCCACCCCGCATCTCCCAGACAAGCCACAGCTCCATCCCACGCTCTGCTCTGCCCTGGCTGGACAGCACCCCCCCCCCCACTTCCTCCCTCACTGTGGGGGGCCTTGATCTGCCCCCCACCATGTCCCTTCTCTCACCCCTTCCCCCAAAACAGACTTTCCAGCTGGATCTGGCTGCTCTCCACATGGCCAGGCTGCACTCCTGGCCCCATGCATGCTGCAGCTGCGTACATGCATGGAGCATTTATGGGCCACATGAGACAAAGTCAATTCCTGATACTCTCAACGTTCCTCATATCAGTGCTGAGCTGATATGGGACTAATGTATTGGTGCACCTCTATTTCTAATGATTAAGCCAGAGAACACAGGACAGAAATAAAATTAGCAGGAAACAATGTTACCATTACCTGAATAATTCAGGTAATATATTAAATCCAACAGGATTTTGCCACTCTGCTAGTTTGTCACATTTTTCAGTGGATAGTCCTGTAGATGTTTCTGCATAAATAATGTATGCACTACATATACATTTAAGTAGTAAAATAAGTGGTGGCTCAGTACTGCTTCAATATTGACTTCAAAAGCACAAAGAGCTCATGGGTTGCTTACCAAGAGTGAATTACATGCAATTGCACAAAGTTATTATCTATAAGAGTATTAATAAAGAGCCCTATTCTACACTTACAGAAACCAGTGGGAATATTGCTCTTTTTAGCCATGAGAAAAGGAATCTAAGTACCTTCTGTATCTTTCTTTTTGGACTGTATTCTCACTAATCGTATTGTTACTTTTCTTCATGCCACACTTCTACCTTGAAGTTCCTGTTTTACAGATTACTAGGGAAAAATCCTTTAACTGCACACAGCTAGTGGATTTGAACTATAAGTACTGTCCTTTCCATCAGCCTCAGATGAGTTGAGACCATCAAGCATCAGCTGTCTTGGAGTTAATGATAACCCTTTGAGCCAATTATTTTAAATGCTGTGCATCTAAGTAAGTATAAAAACCTGTTATTTAAATTACGTACTCATTGATCATCAGACATCTTCCTACTGTGGATAAACTTCACTGAACCTTCTGACATTATTCTAGCCACTGATCTGTCCCAGTAACCAGTCTTGTTGACCTTATGTAGAAAGAAAGTGTGACCCAATTCTGTGTTTACTATATGCCTTAAAGTATTGATCAATGGGAGCTTTGGCTGCAGACTGAGTTGGCTTCATAATTCCTTAACAATGTGAGGTTGCTCTTTGTAGCTGGCCAGCTTACACACTACTTGGAGATCAAGTGTGATTTTTGGGGCAGGGCTGTCAAACAGTGATGAGGCTTTTTCCTAGTCTTTTGCAAAGACTGATTTCCACTTGAGCACAATTCAGTACCGCTTACAGTCCGTGGCAATGTTTTTGATCTTAGCTTAGGGGAATTTGCTCTGCCCTTAGAAATATGAATGAAGAAAAAAAA